ATGTATATATATATAGATGCAAAGTATGATCAGAACTTTTATTTTCTGTTTAAAGAAGGATTTCAGCGGTAATTAAAATGATTAGATAAAGATGAGAGTTTACGTGATACATAAGCAGCATTAAGGTCAACACCATTATTCTGCTTAATTTATGTGCAGAAAAATAAAAAATAATTGGGCGTCAAATTAGACGAGCCAATAGAATCAGTGGAAGATACCAAATGGGATTCATTATGGATATCTATAAAACTAACCTCATTTTAATATTTCTAATCAAGATTCTTCTTACTTTTATTAATATGCATATTATTTTCAAGTAACTAGACCTAAATTGATGAAGTGATCATCTGACAGTATATATATATATATATATAACACTATAACGATGTGGGTTTGAGTTGGAGGCTCAATCTGAACGATCAGCTTTCAAATTTTTTTGCACCATAATTATATATATATATATATATATATATCACATAAAGTAAGCTCAAAAATCATGAAAGTTGACGAAGGAAAAGTTCAATGATCTTATTTCCAAAGATACGGAGCTTTCAAGTGCTAGCTCAACATATCTGAATATGCAAGGAGGTTAATACAAAATCAAAGATCCATATAGCAAATATATATATATATATATATATATATATAGAATATACGCGATGTGCGGGGCAGGAATCTTGCTCTTTCTCTTGAAATTTGATTCGATAGTAATAATCAAAATTATATCAAATTAAGTCCCGGTTAATAAAAGAATAGTGCAATGGTCGACAAATCTCACTACCTGTTTCAAATTAAAACAGTGTGTCGGTGAGCGACGTCTATGGACAAGATTTAATTATATCATGGACTTAAGGTTTAAGAAAAAGAAAAAATAATGTATTTTTAGAATTATTTCTTAATAAATCCAAATTTATTTCCTAACAAAAGTAAATTACAGTGAGTTTTTTTATTTCTTTCGCCTTAAAATTTTATTTTTTATTTTTACAACAAATAAATGTTCTTAACGATAAACTGGTAAAAGAACGGTCAACATTGAGGTTTACTACGTAGAATGTGGAAACACATTGGTTCTAGTGGGTAGGTATAAGCTAGCTAGAGCTAGAAGAAAATCTGAATATATATATATATGTATGTATATGTGTATATATATATACACACACAATATTATAGAAGTATATGTAAGTACTTCACCAAGTTGCAGAGAAAAAAAATATTGAAAAGTCGGAGAGAAATTATTGACATTAGCATGAAAACGACATATAATAAGCCTAAAGATATAAATAAATCCCTGGTAGGTTTAACAAATAAAAGTTGGAAGATGTGGATGCTGGCGTCACCAGAAAGCTTACCAAGATTTACATACGACAATATTAATATGTATTATAAAAATGAATAGAATATTATCAAAATGTGGAAGGCCACACTCTGCATTTAACGTGAATTAATTAATCTACTAACTAAACTATTAATTACAACTCTCATCGTGTATAGTTTATTCCTCAGGAAGCTATGTAACGGTGCTTTCCAATTAATTAAAGAATTTCTTAATGACGTAACGTTAATCATCTACTTCATTATTGATTTATGTTAATGGTGGAAAATGGTTACTCTACTTCCATAATGATGCATTTTAAGTGACAAGTGATGCATTGCAATATTTTTTATATATGATTCTGCTCTCACTTTTCCGGAAATTAATCTTGAAGAATCTGACTGGTAATCTCGTTTATTCATCATCGAGATTCACGTTCCATATATGTAATGAAACTATATTATACCTTAACAGAAGTTCTGAAACTGAGTTGGGTTACCATGTTGGTATTGATTATTCTTTAGAAGAACTGAAGAACATAATGACCGAGTATTAAACCGCACAGTGAGGAATGGTATGAGCTACCTAGGAGCTGTTGTAAGATCCTGGATCAAGTAATGGGCTTGGCGTGACCAGTCCATTAAAGGAAAATTAGTAAGCTTTGAATCAGTAATCTGTTATTTGTCACGTTATGTAGACACATTTATAAATATATATACATATATATGTGTGTGTGTGTGTTCATATTCTAATTCTCATTGCGTGGCCTGCATTTTAAGTCCTTGCTCCCCTCCCCAAGTAAACAAAAGGAGCATATATGGGAACGATGAATAAGTTTTACTTTACTTAAGCTCAGATCAGGATCTTAGTACATTTCTTGACATACATACATACATACATACATACATACATACATATATATAATTTTCGAACCTGCACGTGGCTGGATTCGATCCCCTAGACCTCCGAGAATAAACCACAAGGTACCAAAGTCGACTAAAGCTGGATGGTTCGAGAAATGAGTATGATCACTAAAAAAGCCAAAGCACTTGAAATTATTAGATGGCATTCTTCTCAAGATCCTCAATTTTTTAGGTTAAAATTGATATAGGAAATATAAGAGCAGGACCAACATTAATTTCCTATGGTTGTTTCCTCGCTGAGGCTTGTTTGGAATGGATCCGAAGGATTATCTCTCTTTCTACAACAACTTGAGGAGAAGCATTTATACATCTTATCAGTAATAATTAATGCCTTCCAAAACTAATTTCACCAACATGAAAACATCCCAGTAGTTATTCATCTTCAGTCTTCAACGTCAAATAGTGCTCAAGACTTCTTTGTTTCATGCTTATGCTTCCGAACATGTCAACAAGGTCACAATATTTGTATTATAAAGAAAGTAGATACTAAATTGATGACGGTAGTGGTTTGATCAGAAACAGAAGCATATATCAGTTTGTGCATAAGCATCCGAGGCAAACACAATATTGTGTACGCAAGTCTGAATCCAGTCAAATATATTAAAAGAGAATTATATTAAAAAGGAGAAAAATATATCTACAATATCAAATTATAGAATATTGTACTAATTTATTAATAGCTAAAGAAAGAAGTTGTTTTCCAAGTAATTTGTCTACGAAACACATATTTTATGTCGCCCTAACTTTGGAGCTAACTAGGTAAGGCCTATCTATACAATTATACAGCATATACTTTATCAATCCTCATTAAGTTACAAGTCATAGTAGATCAATCTTAACAAAATGAACCCAGCTAATTAAAGAATTCAATCTAGAGACCTAATCTTAAATCAAGAAAGAAGCTCGAGGAGGGAGACGATGAAGAATCAGCTTCCACTGGAGCAGGTAAATTCAAGTCCAGACCGCCATAACTGATCTCCTTTGAGGCAAAAGGGTTAAGCCCATGGTTCAACAATGGCTCATCGCCTCTCTCCCAATGGCACCTCATATGCCCACCAAGAGCTTGACCACTTGAGAACACCCTCAAGCAAATGCTGCACTTATGGTGTCCCAAAACCATCATCATTTTGCTGTTATCTTCTCCATTATTGTTTTCGTTCATTACTCCATCACCAATATCTCCACAAGTACCATCTTCAACCTCGCTGCAATCACCGCTCCTGGTGATGGCGAAACAACCTTTCACGTTCTTGTGACTCGCCCTGTGACCACCCAAGGCCTGGTGCGACCCGAACACCTTCTTGCAACTGGAGCACTCAAAACGGCAACTCACATGGCTTGAGTTGGCACCCAGTGCGTCATTTTCCTCAACACCATGTGGGTAACTTGTGCCACATTCCATCTCACCCGCAACATCAGCACCACCATTTGACAACATAAGTAAACAAGCAGCAATCTCCTGATCCTCCTCTGTCATGGTCACCAAGGTGCCAAAATCTTCAGCCACCTGCTTCACTGGCGAAATGGGTCTGCGGTAATTTGGGGGTGGATTGATGCCGCGCCATTGACGCTCAGGATGGCATCTCATGTGGCCAAAAAGCGCTTTCCAGGACCAAAACTTCTTGCCGCATTCACTGCAAGGTCGCGTAATCTTTGGTGCACCAGGGTCCGGTTTCTTACTATATTTAGGCCTGGAAACGGGTCTGGAATCGACTGAGGATGTTCCAGAGTCAACCTTGAGGAACCTGGAGCGTTTCTTGCGGGGATTTTGATGGTAACCGGGAGAGGGATTTGAAGCAGAAGAAGGGAAATTGGTGAGGATGAAGTTGGGAGAAGAAGAGAAGCCAAGATCAGGATCAGAATCTGCCGTGTTTGTCATGATGGAAAAACGAGAAAGCAGAGACGTGCAGAAGCAGGGTAGGAAGAATGTGGAAAGAGAAGGAAAAAAGTGTAACAATGGAGGATCAGTTGGATTTGTAGTATAGCGTAGTTTCAGGCGGTTACTGGTTTGCATGGGAGGGAAAGAGAGACAGACAGAGCGGTTACTTATTAGAAGTGAGCGGTTATTTTCAGTTGGTGAATTTGTGGGGTTGTGTTGCTTGTGTCAATCCTTACATTGCAGTTACATGATATATATATATATATTATCATGTGTTTTCTTTTTTCCTTAATAATGTTCACTTAAACAACAATAATTATGAGATTTTACAGATATATGTAATTATGGTGCATTTTTTTTTTTTCTTTGTGAACGAATTAACTTGTAAAGAAATTAATTTCTCTAACCGGATTTAGATATAGATATGGTATAAATGAGTTTCTCTTAATAATTTTTGTGTTTATGTATTTCAAGTTACTGATATCCTTCCTCAGTATTATCTGCTATATATTTATGATTGTCAAATTTGTCATATTTGATAATTAATTACTGTTTCTACTAATTATTTATTATTGTCTTTGACTATTATTTTCTACATTTTAATTAAAATAATATTTTAGAAAAAAAAAAATTAGAAAACACCTAGTTCAAAACAATGGTAATTCCAAGATTATATATAAACAAGCAATTCTTTTAAAGGAACTTACCTGGAATATAAATAGTCAGTAATTGAGAGGTATAATTAAATTAAACTGATATGAATATATATTTATAAATTCAGAACAAAAAAATTTACACTCAGATAAATATATGTTTATAATTGAATAGCTTTTAACCAATTAAAAAGTAAAACATTTACAATTGAATTTCACTCACATCCATATTTAAACACTATATATCGCAGAAGAGAACTTTCGAATTAGAGGGTTGCTGGCTATCCTATTGCCAAATATATGAACAATTAAAGAAAGATTTTCGTTAAGGGTATTGCTAACTATCTTAATCTTCACCATCCTAATTGTTCCTCTATTTGGGCAGGTCTTGTAATTGCTAGTAATTTCTTCCTTCTCTCAGCAGATATCAGAGTTTTTCTTTTTCTTTTTCTTTTTTTTTTTTTCTTCTTAGACGTCTTAATGGATAGCCAACTTTTTTGTTCTGGATTCAACCCAAGTCTTTGGGTCCAATCAAAGCCTTTGATCTCCATTCAGGAGCAGTGAACCTTTAGGCCTAATAGCACTGAGATACAAGGAGAATACCCAGCTCAAGGATGAAACAAGTAAAACCACTAGTTTCACTGGAAATTTTATGTAGCTATATATATATATATATATATAAGAACAGTACATATTCTATGATCATTACAGAACTATAACAATTAATACAGTCAAGATCTTGTATGCTAAAGAGAGTACAGAAGGTAATTACAGAATATGATTTTACCAGTACAGAGATGACCATTGAAGAAAATCTGGGTGGAGATAAACATGTTGGCACGATTTGTGCACCCATTCTCTTTAACCTAAACGTCATAGTACTACCTTGTGCTTCTTGTCTCTTTACTTCTGTGATTACTCTCTACGAGTTGAAAGGGACTTTGACATTCTTCGGAGACTTTCCCAGTATATTTAATACAGAAACACGCTGCACTTCTTTCGCTGCAAGAATGTGAGTAAAAAATGAACTTGCAATATCATCTAAACAGATGCGTTTAGAAAATGAAAAAAGAGCATGTGCAAATAATAGCTCCTGCTTGACAAACTAGATATGTTTCACACGTAAGCCACTAAACAGCATACAGAATGTTCAGTCTGTCTGAAATACTATATCCCTTTTTGCGCAGACTGCCTGTTCTTATGTACACAATAATTGTTCTAATGTATGAAATTGGTAGCACAAACTGACTTAGGACTATTACATGTCATGTACTTTAGCAACTAACTCGAAAATATTTATGCCAAAATAAGAACTAGGGTTGCATACCCAACCTGAAAGAGAGAGTATTCTCTCGACTTATTCACCTGTACCACCATATCAAAACTAGCACTTCCTCTCAGCCATTCAACATGAAATCACATCAAGGTTTTGCTATTGTACATTGTCTACAACTAGACATACCAACATCGAGCTTATTTCATAGACTAACCTCAAAAACAGGTTGTCAAACTAAAAAAAAAAATAGTACTATAAATGTCCCTTGCACACAACTTCCCAGACTCCAACTCCCTTGCTCCTCCAAAACACACAACATGTTTCTTCCAACTTGGTTATTTTCTGTTTGACAATATATCTTTTTCCTTTCTGATATAATAAATATTTTAAAAGGCAGTGCAACTGTCGTGTAAAGTTAAAGCACAAAAACCAAAAAACTTCATATCACCTTCCTCCAGTGAAAGCTGAATTGATCGCTTCTCCAACTCAACAGCGTGTCTGCTAAGTTCCACAGAGGACAGTGATCGAAGCACTAATAAAAATACATTGAACCAAACACGTGAACTAATATCACAAGAGACAAAGTTTTGGCTAAAAAAAAAAGTAAATTCTCAGTAGCTTCATCGGCATGCAAGAACATACTCTGAGTGTAATCCTCTTGATCAGATTCATTTAATTTCTTTAAAAGCATCTGCAATCGATGATATCTCTCTTCCTGATGCAGGTTCTTCATTCCATTTGGATCAGAGGAAGCCTGTTGATTATTGGGTCCTGGCGGTGCTAACCTCGCACCCGAATTCCCAAAAGGGAAAGAAATTGAAGGTTTAGCAGATGTGCTAAGTAAAGCCCTCGGCAAAGGTGCCAAGGCTGGAAAACGAGAAACTTTTGGTTCTTTAATCTGTGGTCTCTGTTTCACAGTCTCTTCCAAGCGACCAACTTGGCCTGAATAGAGACAATCAGTGCCAACATTGGCACCATCAGGAGTAATGCTTTTTCCTGTGTCACCTTCAGATTTTCTGCGGACATAGACAAGATGCGCATTTGCAGTATTACTGATAGGAGATTGGTTGCAAGAGGGACTTACAGAGCACTCAGGTGAAGGCCTCTTAATGCCAGGTTCTACCTTATAGGTATCAACAATGGGCCCCCTATCTTTTGAAAACAGTGAATTTCCAATGGAACTGGGGGCTATAATCCTATTTTCATTCTGCAATTCTCTCAATGCAGTCTTCTTTACAGCAGCTGGCAGTTGCTTGTCACGAGTTGGCGTGTTATTGTCAGGATTGGCCAGCCCATATTCACTGATTTTGGAGTCTATTGTTTGTTGAACCATCTGAAGTCTCTTTGAGTTTCTGTTAAAGAAATAAAAAGATACATGATTTCAAGAGGGGGGGAAGGTGGGGAAAGAGCTGACAACTAATTTAACTTCAAAAGTTGCAACATGACAAACCACATTTCTTTTATTGTTCCCATTGTATTTTCATCAAACACACTTTACAGCAGAGATTCTTTGCAAATAAAGAAAGCTACCAATTCTGGTTCTCCCTTATTTAATATAAAAATACAATAATGAGAATTGAATATGCATGACCTGTAAAAACTACCACATCAACCTCTATGACAGCATTTTGGAAAATAATCTTAATTATTCAAAATACAGTAGTTAAAAACTCTAGATGCTAAATGCAAGAGCTTTTTTTTTTTAAATAATTCTAACAAAATGTCAACAAGAATCACAAAATCCTATATAGAATAGACAGGATGACCCATAATTAAAAAAACCAAAAGTCTGGAGCCATCTATCCCTAATTCTATCAAATGCAAGAGCTTGTTAAAACAACAGTTACAAGACAGAAGATAACCAAATGCTGAAAAATGTATTATTTCCTTATATGTTACAAAAAGAGCAGAGAAAAGGATGTAATAAATGGTTGGAAAAGATCAGAAAATTGAATATCGTAAACATCGATTCATGAAAATCATTTTTCTTTTTTGAGAATAGAAAGAATCTATTCATGAAAACCTTAAAAGTGGAATTTAGTTTTAGAAGAGTACATAGAAGAAACAAAATATTAAAAGAAGGTAGAAACTCCAAATTAGCAAACCTAACAGATAGTTATATCACACTTTCCTCAAGCATATTTAATCATAACCGCAAAATCGAGGGGTCATTTCATTGTCAACAGGTGTTACATGTGTTTGTCAGCTGAGGAGACCTGTAATCATCTTCTTTTGTGGTGTCCTGTGGCTTATAAACTATGGAGTATGGTATATGGGCTTCTGAGGCTAAATTGGGTGGTGGCTGATTCTGTCAAAGAAGAAATATGGGCATGGAGTGGGTTCAGGCTTGAAAATGATTGCAACAATTTGATTCCTCTCACGTTAATGTGGATCATCTGGAAAGAGAGAAACCTTAGAGTTTTTGAGGGAAGGGAAACTCTAGTGAATAGATTGAGAGATAGGTGGTTTCATTTTTTTGGGAATATGTTACTGGGGCGTGACATGATGAGTGGAGTAGATTTTGGGGTTGTCATTGATACCCTCACTAGAATGTAAATTTACTGTATATGGACGGTACCTTCTTTTGGTACTTTGTTTATAATATTACATTAACAATTTTCATTTAAAAAAAAAACAATTAATCATAACCGCAAACAATGAAACAGATATCATTGGAAGAATCGAAAATCAGGTAACAGACATAATTTGTACAACAGAAAAAAAAAACAATTAAACATTGTGAAGCTGCTTAAAAAATAATAAATAAACATTGTGAAAGACCAACAAGAGTTTGACATTAACTGTGTAACCCATCCTATTATCTGGAATAAATGATACTAAGGGCATTACCCAAGTACCTACTGAAGGAAACATCCACCCATATAACACCTCTGTCTACAGACCCATAATTTTTTTTTCTTTTTCACTTTCAACTCTATTCCATTTCATGTGGTTTCCCTAATTTCGATAAGTACTTTGAATAAGGACTGGAAAATGCTCTACCCTCCATGTTACCTGGTCCTGATGTACCAATAATTGCAAATTCAATTTATTAAAGAATCTTGAAAATCAGTTTTGGAAATTCATGTTTGGATAGAGAAACGGTAATTACAATCTCAGATTCGAGTTATGTTGTCATTTTCAACTAAATCAGAAAGAAACAAATACGTTATTTAAGGGAAATAAATTTTTATCTATGATTTTTGTGCCAATGACCTCATAGAGCTTTCGTTCCTGACGTGTATTTTGTATTTCCACATTTCCTAGAGCAATAGCCACCTGCTTCGCATTATCCTATCACATAGAATGTCTAGTCTAGGTTGTTTTCTATGTTTGGGACAGTGCCAGCATGCCTCCTAATCTGGACATTTCTTTTTTAATCTTTACTGCCTTATTTGATTTTGTGATGAGTAAGGAGCATAAGATGTTGCGCAAGGGAGGATGAAAATGCAGATGATGATAAAACCGTATGGCTTCTATTTTGCCTGATGAGTGATGAGGAACCAATGGTCAAGTGATTGGCTGCAAATTTTTCTTAGCAACTCTAGATTGTGCATGCAGATGCAGTTCTAGCTATTTATATTCAAAGATATTGTGGAAGGGCCATTTTCGGTGTTGGATCATTTGGCAGGAACAGAATGTAAGAATTATTTAAGCATCAGTTTCAACCGCCCAACATGATTGGATATGAGATGATCTACTTTTCTTCTTTTTGTGCAAAAGCCCAGGACTTCTTTTGAGGGATGCAAATTATCTACTTTATATGGGGCTTGTTTCTATTCCATCTTAATGCATTCTGCTATGGCATTTTAGTATCTTCTTATTTTGGATGGAGGATAATATATCTTCTTGTTATCTTAAGCAACAGACTTCTCTCTGATATATTTCTTTATCGAAAAAAAAATTCCACTTCAACGATTCTTCAACTAGTAATTTCTTGCACTTCAGCACACAGCATTTTACAGAAATCCCTATAAAAATTGAGCTCACCATTTATGTGAACATTCCACGTCAACTAAGCTAGATAACTATCAGTGTTCACATAAATTACCTATTAAGTCTGTATAAGAATTTTGTGAATCTCTTTGCCGCATTGATCTTTTCAGTTTTGTTCAACTGCAATATTTTACGTTCCCATTTCAATATTTCATCAGCATGTGCATTATGATAAAACTAGGTTAAGAATAAGCATAATGAGCCACTCTAAATCAGTTACTGAGTAACTAATAACATCATTGTTGTAATATCCAGTTCTAAAATGATAAGTCATAAAGTCTAGATATGGCTTTCCAGCATGCAAGATCTTGCATAAGAAAATCCTAAAATTGAATGAGATAAATTAAGAAAGTAGAAATCTAATCCTAGAATCAATCATGCAGTTCATTCAATACACTCTCTTAAGTATCAAAATCTGAAATGTGAATACCAATGCATAATACCGCTAAACGCGTCCATATTATTCACTCTTATCACAAGAACAAGGATATGAATATATGCGTAAGCTGCTCAATCTCCTATTAAAGGAATTGAAAGCACTTGATATTTGCATTACAAAAACCTGCGCATTCCTGTATAAAATTTAACTCACTATATCTTGCTGTTTTTCACTTGTTGATTTCTCAACAAGAAAATGAGAAATCAAAGTAACAAAAAGAAACGGAGGAGTCCGAATTCAAGTAGCATCATCAAACGGGAATACGAACATTTTAGAAGAGAAGACTCTGTACTTTAGCAAATAACACAATACCCAGAAACCAAAATGAACAAATTTCATCCAAATCAAACTTTCATGAAATCCAGGTTTAATCGCTTTGTTAACCCCATAATTTGGCAATACATGAAAATAGGAAAAGAAAAGTAACAATTGCAGGATATAAATTGCTAAAGGAAGGAGAAGATGACGAAAAATGTAGAATCGGAGCGAAGAGGCAAGAGACATTACCTTAGCTCATGGCGAAAGAGAGAGAGATGGGGGGGGGGGGTTTCAAAAGTAAGAAGCTTTTGGCTCTAACGGGGCAAGAAAATTAATTATTGGCCCTTCCTTTTTTGTTAATTATCATCGAGTCCCTCCAAATAGCAGTAATGCTAATGCAAGCTATTCTTTTTCTGATAATCAGTATTATTATATAACTTATAACTTTTTAGATTTTTTTTTCTTTCTTTTTTTGAAATCTCTTTTTCTACAGGATTTTCTTTTTTTTAAGTTCTCAAGTCAAATTATTTATTGAATTTAATAATGAATATTATTTCAAGCACATTGTTTGTCCCAGATTAGAGCTTTTTTTTATATAATTATTTTTAGGGTAAAAAAAAATAAATTAATTATTTTTATTTCATTAAACCATAATAGTGATTATATACTTCAGAAATTAACAGATTAATATTCTTACTCTACATCTGTGAGAAAATACGAATTAGCGTACTAGTTTTTATTTAAAAAAAAAATTACTGATTACTGTACATATGATATAGCTCAGATTGTAATTGTTATCTAAAGAGTATATTTAATATTTCAATATAGTAAATTGCATGTAAAAACATTTTTAATCACAAATTAATTACAGACTATTAAACCCCCAAAAATTTTAAGTTCAACACATGAATTCTTTATGAACAAAATATTTAAAAATAATATTCAAAATTATGGTCTAATGATAATTAGATGTGTTTGTAACAAATAAACATCATAAAATTTGACAGACAGCACTTAACTTAAGGATGTATCAGGGAGTATAGAAAAAAGCATTATATAAAAAAAAAAAAATTAAAACATACAAAACTAGTTTAATTAAAAATTAAAGCAAACACTAATTTAAACAAAAATTATTAGTACAAAAAATAAATTATTATTTTAATCTAAAATAAAATATATTTTGCTTATAAATAAAATAAAATTTATTTTTTACTTATTCCAAACATAACCTGGATCGAATCTTGTCATGTTGTGGTGTAGGTTGTGTTAACCTACCCAAGAACGTGATATCAAGCATAGGATCCCATGAACAATAGCAAGTCAGGTAGGGTACAGCTGCTCAAGGCAATCACCAATCGAAGCAGAGTCAACCTGTGTGGCCAGAAGCACAAGGCATGGAGAATTCCCAAAATCTCCTTTTTTTTTTTCCTTTTTTTCCGCCGCAGATGCACGAGTCAAAACCACAGCCAGAGAGACGCATCATATAATAGAACATTAGACACATTGAAAGGGAACTTCGTTAAAACAGTATCATGAATCCTCGAAACTCAATAAAAAAAAAAAAAGGGGGGGGTCTAAGAAACAATACTTAGGAAAGATGTATATACATACGAGAAATTACTGAATAACAAGGTCGTAAAAAAAAAATCTGTGTGCAAAGGCTTATATCTCACAAGTTCACAATCCACAGCTCTGTCCGTTGCGTACTTGCTTATTGAAGAGGGTCCAAAATGAATACAGCATGTTCCCTCATGATTAGGTACCTGTCTACGGAGGACACTCCCGGAACAAAATAATTTCTTTTATATGTCCACAGTCAAGGTTTCTCTTTAATAGTATGCCATGAGATGAGGAGGAAATATCACTGGCCAGGATTGCCCAAAAGTCGCTCTACTGCAGCATGGACATTTCCGGAGGTAGCGCGCAGTGCCCTGATATTCTCTTCAGTATCAAAAAAACCCATTTCTCGGAGCTGTGACAGTTGTGTAGCATAAAGTTCTTCAGGTGGCACTGTAAAATGGAAGGCAAATCTCAGAAGTGGTCAACTAGTATTGACTTTGTAAATAAACCAGTGCAAATGCATTTAAGAATTCTAACCATCAGGTTGCTGCGGAACACTAAAGCTACCAGCACCTAGACCACCAAACATGTTCATCAACAAATCCAGCCCAGCAGTATTTCCCGTCCCTAGAAATATAATCACAATAGTGAAATGGTACCTCAAACAAGGCAGAAAAGAAAAAATAAAATGAAGAGGAATAACTAAATAAGCATTGGGAAAGGTGCAAAAGACGGAAAAAGGATGAGCGTCCCTATAGCATTTGCCAAATAATAATCCATTGCAAGTATATTTTCAATTCTGTTTCTCATGTACCTGCAGTAGCCCCAGTCTGTCCAGAATCCCTATGAGAACAAAAAACAGCGGATGAATAATGATGGCAGCAATATAAACAAAAAACAGATGAACACAGTAGTAAATGAAGATATCATCAGCCATATAGAGGAATAGGAGGAATAAGGGCACGGGTGAGAGCAATCACATCCTAAGACCTAGAACAATGTACATTTAAACCAAAAAGCCTGTTTTTTTAAAAAAAAAAAAGAAAGCCATTCATCTGAATGATAATCAAATGCCACAAGTGCTATCTTATTTCTAATTAGGACTAGCACCATCAAGGCAAGTTTTTTTGCAAACATTTCATAGTCGGCTCAGTCAAAAACTTAAAGTCAAGCTCAATTCACCAACCTTTAACCGAGCTCGCGTGTTTTTAGGCTCGTCTATCTTGAAAGAATGAATTTTTACTTTCTGAATACTGTACTTGAAATTCAGGAATGTATTTGTTTAAACATTAAAGAATTAAGTAAATTTTATAGATTATATAAATATAATACTTTATACATACACTTTAACAATTTAATGCTCAGTAATATCTACAGTAATATAAATTAAGTATAAATCCAATTTAGAGGTTGAACTCAATTCAGGGTGTATACAAGCTTGGAAATTGCAGCCCTATTTTTATTGAGCCTAAGTCAATCCCAAGCTCAAGACTGCTAACATGTCATTTGATCAAAGCTCAAGCCAAAAAGCAGTGAATTGAGAGTTGACGGCACACAAGTCCAGTAACATTTAATTAAACTAAGTTTGAACACTCGAATATTTGGCTCAGCTTCTTTTAACCAACATATCAGATAAGCAACAGTTAATCTCAAAAAAAATCAGATAAGCAACAGTAGCGAGCTGGCAGACTTCCATCATGCAACAATTGAAGATAGAATTCTATCTTCCAACTATCATATCAGATAACAATAAACAGGTACGATTACTTACTGGTTCGTTTGATGCCTATTAAGTTGAGATAAAAGTGACTGCTGTACCATTAGCATTTGCTGCAATAAATGAACACCAGGGTAAGACAAAAGATAGTGATAAGTTTTTATGATAGAAAATACAAGAAAATGAAGTACCACAATAAATGGCCATGCATCCAGTCGTCACACATAAAAATATATAGATAAACACAAATGAGAGATAGGTAGATAGATTTAATCATGAAATGTAAAGTAATCGCAGTTGAGAGTCATGATTATAGTTTAGACACATGAAGCTCTATACCACGTAAATGCAGATAAAAGAGAGAAAGAAAGAATAACCTACTTGCATTGTTTCAGGGGAAGTTAGCTGGCGAAGAAATTCGGGGTTTTGCATCATTTCTCTCAGTTGAGGATTCAAATCAAGCATCCCCCGCATTTGGGGATTGAGATTGAGAATCTAGAATTCAGCAACAGTTTCTTAAATCATGAATTAAGCTTAACAGGACTCTTCAGCTAAATTATGCCGAGTGGAGTAATAATACCTGATTCATATACTGGGGATCAGAGAGCAGATTTTGCATCATCTGTGACATAATTGGATTTTGCAACAACTGATTCAATTGAGATGCATCAGGCATGCCATTAACCATGTTCTCCATCCCTGGAAGACCAAGCCCACCAAGCCCGCCAAGATTACCAATACCTGGTGCTCTTGTATCCGCAGCAGGATTTGACCTAGGTGTAGAATTTGTCTGTGCCCCTCCTGGCAATTAATTGCAAGTCATGCTTCAGTAGTAATATTTGTCATTTAAATAATAGTTGCATACTATTTTAGGAATCAAATTGCTAATTCTAAGAAGCAATTTATCTAAAGCACAACATCTATCAAGGCAGACCTATGAAAGACAACACTGAGATTTATACAGGCTATTTTACGTCCTTTCTCAAAACAAGAAGAGAATGTCGGTGCAAATTAAACATTAGAATACCCATTATAATCTCATATACAAACCTAAGTCATTTATGCTGGGGTAAGTCTGCACATCCAGATTTTTTTATAGTAGCAAGCTTGAGTTTTCAGGTGCAAGGAGACAGGCTCCCATTGCCATCAAGTACCAATTAGCTTCCATAAAGTATAAATACCCTTATTCTCTATTTACACAAGACGATGTATGTCAAACAGCAATTCTAATGAACAACGGAGTTCCAAGGGAACAATAATACTTCAACAGATAAAAAAGTTCAAAGCTTACCACCAGTATTGCTCCACGGATTAGGAAGTGGACTTGTATTTGGGGCAGGGGTACCAGTAGTTTCAGAATCATTTGTAGAAGGGTTACTAGATGCATCCCTGACTTGGGGCCCACCTTGGTTCCCCAGAAGAGCAGCAAAAGGATTTGAAGACAAATTGTTTCCTGTGTTTCCTGCCATAGTTGTAGCATTTAGAAATGGTTCTTGAACATTTTCATACATTCGTCTCAGCATGTTGAATCCCTCTGGAGTAGATTCAATATTGCTCATTGCCCTGTCCGTATTCCGCATCATCTCACGCATAAGCTCAGGGTTCCTTGCCGCATCTAACGTCTGCCGGAGAATGCCAGGATCATTAAGTATGTGTGCAAGTTCAGGATTCCGGTCAATCAGCTCACGCATTTGAGGATTACTCATAATCAAGGTACGCATTAACTCTGGGTTGTTCATCAGGTTCTGAATGGCAGGCATATTCATTATTTCTCGCATCATGTTTGGATTTTGAGTAAGTTGTTGTTGTACTTGCTCAAATTCAGGAAGACTAGATCCAAATAAACCAGATGGTGCACTCCCACCTAGTCCATTAAATCCAAGTCCAGGAAATAAAGAAGCCCCAAGGCCAGCCCCACCAAGGCCTCCACCTTCATTGGAGCCTACACCCCGTGTAACACCTGGTGTAGCATTTGGACTTCCTGCATTTGAAGTAGCAGAAGCAGATCCAGCAGCAGCAGGTGCTGGTGATGAAGTTGGGGCAAAACCACGAACCATATGAACAGTATGATCAGCCTGCAGGCCTTCAGGAAAAGCAATCAAGAGAGAAAAAAAATAGTCAACCGCAGAGCAAAAAAAAATTAAAAATGGCTTGCATATTAAAGAAGAAAACAGGAGGAAGATATTGTAATGACTGTTCAACTAGTTACAGAAACCAATAAAATCAGGAATAAGTATATCAATTAGTCAACAAGGAAAAGACAATGTAACTGTTTTTAAGACAGGAAGCTACGGAAATAAAGCAAAAATTCAGAAGTATTTCATTGTATAACCCATCCAGACGAAAAATCTAACTTCGTACTCGTACTTTCCGTTACATTATTATGATGGAGATCAAGTAGATCACATTTTTTTAACACTGGAATAAATCACCAGCTCAGGTCTTCCAGAAGAGGATGATTGAAAACATACTTATAGACTCAGAAAAGAACCATAACACTTCAAATTGACTTTGGCCTTCAGACTATATATAGATGGACAAGGAATCCTCAAAGGCTAATGCTTGCAGAAGGATAGATAAAGAAAGTGAAAAGAAGCCCATTAATAGAGAAAGTTCACAAACAAAAATCTCTTAGGAGTTCCGTAAGCAATACCATAAAGTTCACGCAGAAAGAATAATTACCAAAAAATCAAATTCTCATAATCAAGGAATTTTTTCATCAAACTGAAATGGTGACTCGACTTATATTTGTAGCTAAACCATTAAACTCACAACTCTCACCTTCCTTTCCAACGTATAGCTTATATTTGCTGCCAAAAAGTCAAACGCATAACTCTCATCTTTCTTTGTAACGCCTCTTAACATTGAATATCCATTGCAAAATGTAATAATAATGGAATGGATGCTTCCATGTCAGAAAAAGCTATTTTTTTCAACTGCTAATCGATCACACAAATGAGAAGCATAACTTTTAAACAGACACGTATCTGATGCCCTAAAAGCAGCAAATCAGTACCTACCGAAAAGGTTGATGGGAGCACCAAAAGAGCTCGGGAGCAATAACTAAAACCAACATCAAATCACCATAGATCTCCATATCTTCTAATCGATAAAGAATATTTTTCTGATGAATAAAAGTTCATTCCAAAAGAAGACGTACAATAGCTCCAAATATATATGTTAATGAGGTCACCACACATGTTTTTCAACTCGTTCAATCGATTTCCTCTTATTATCCAGATTAATCAGAAATCCAAAAGATCGAAAAATTCTATAACAAAAGCGAGAGAAGGAGGGAAGGAGTTAGAGAAATCACCATAGCTTTGAAGGGTTTGATCATCCTTCAGGATGCGACCCTTATAAATCAACCGCTGCTGATCAGCTGGCACATCGCAGTTCTGCGCCACGAGAACTTTGAACGATCCAACGCTTGATTCGAGGGTCGTCCTCACCGAAAACTTCGTGCCGTTCGAGCAACGGATATTCACCATTACCCCAGCATCTCCTTCCCCTCCTCCTCCACTGAGCCGTGACTCGCTCGAATCGCCCTCTGCACCCATACTTTTCCCCTCTCCTCACTATCTCTTCCGTCCTCTGCCCTAACCTTAAAAAAATTATAAAATCAGATACAGATCGAGTAGAACCCTCACCGGCTAACCCTAAAATGATTCAAGAAACCCCAATTTGAGTCGATTTTGGTACCTTTTAACCCAACGATAAACAACTCGTATTTTATCGATCGAAATGGAAATCAAAATACAAATAAAAAATATAGATAATTAAATAGAACCTCAAGAAAAAAATTATAATAAGTTGAAAACAGGGACGATCATGCGAGGGCCTCAAGATAAAATAGTAGAAACGGGAGAGAGAATTAATGGGATTTGGTGCATCCAATAAGGGAGAAGCGATAGAGAAAGGTTTGCAAGAGGAGAAGAAAAAGTTAAGATCCTCTACGGCTTGCATAGAATATTCGGTGGCAGGAGATTACAAGTTTTGTTGTTTCAGCAAATCGCATTGTAAAACGTAAGATCGAGGGCAGATGAATTGTCCTTTATGCCCTCGGTCGGTCATTCTGGAGGAGGTTGAATAGACGACAGATCCGGCCCAGTTCAGATAATTACGAGATTGTATTTCGGGTCATGGGCCGAACAAGTCCCATTGTACGCAAAATTGCCATTCGGCTTTTCATTTTATTTTTATTTTTTTCTCAATTAGTTTTTTAATTTATCTGTTTTTAAAAAAATAAATAAATAAATATTTTGATATATCATCACTACGTAATAATTAATGTTATAACTGCAATATTAAAAAATATATATATGTGCTTTATTTAAAATTTTACCCGATTTAAAAATATTAAATATGGATTTATTCTTTTACTTATATCTCGTAGTCCATTCAATTTAGATTATGATTATGGATCATCAATTCTATAGCTTTTGTGTCGCGTGGTTATCACGTATAAATGAATTAATTTCAAAATTAAATTAATCGACTAATGAATTAATTTCAAAATTAAATTAATCGACTAATGAATTAAATATAATAAATAAATACTGTGATTTGTTTCATCATTTTATGTAAATTTCAAAATCTATTATAAATTATTAGAATACGTCATGGGGCTTTTAAAATACAAAGAAAAAAAAAATGGAAGACTACATAAATCAAAATTATGAAATAATAAAAATCTAATAATTTTATGTAGAAACATAAAAAAATAAAAATAAAAATTCAAACCAATGCTATAATATGCTTGAATTGCAAAGATGGAATCAGAGTAGTAAAATTATAATTGCTAGTAATTAAATTTTTTAAATTTTGATGAAAGTAAAAAATTGAACATTTTAGAACAAATACCTAATTTAATTTTGCACTTTTTTTTTTTTACTTATTATTAACTAAATTAGTTAATTGTAATTAAAACCAATAAACACGTTCATCTTCTTCAGCAGAGAGAGAAGGTAGATAATTTTAATTAAAGCAAATCAAGAATATTACAAGTGTCTCTATCCAAATATGCATAGAGAATCTGGTGGAGAAAAAGGAAATGAAAACCAACTTCAGTAATTATCATCTACCAATAATTTAACCTTTGTTACCCCAAAGAAAGAAAACAAAAGGAGATTTTCAGTTAACCTTTGAAAAAAAAAAAAAAAAATGTACAATATATCACTGAAGATACAAGAAAGAGCGGAAGACATGATGAATTTCAATACAATATACATCAGTAAGCACCTTCCCAAAAACCCACCAAATATGTTAATGGAATTTCAGGGGAGGTGTTCACACTTACTCATGTGCTGTAACAAAGAATTTGCTTTTCTCTGTGCTCTGCTTGTTCCGCATCTTGCAATCTCTCTCAGATGTTCGTACACACCGAACTGAAGGGCCGCCAAGATAACAGATGAATTGTTCAAACCCAACTCTAGAAGAACAGATGTTGCACATTCTTGGTTCTTAGGAGTCCCCTTTCGAATTATCTCAACCAGAGTTTCCACAAAAGATATCTGTCCGATTTTTTTCCGTCCCTCAGGGTGTGTGGCAAGGAGCAACAAGATTGAAAGAGCCTCATCAATCATGCCCAAATTTTTATCCTCCAGTAGATGAAGTAATGGCGGTATGATACCTGCTTTGATGGCTCTGGACTTATTGGTTTGGTTCAGAGATAGGTTAAAAAGTGCAGTTGCAGCATCTTTTTTACCTCTAGTAGTACCATTCTGCAAAAGATCCACCAATGGAAGGATCCCATTGAAGCCTCCTACAAGTACTTTGTTTTCGTCAAGCATAGATAGGCTAAACAAGGCTGCAGCAGAATTCTCTCGAGCTTCATCTGTTCCACTTTGCAAAATCTCAATAATAGCCGGAATGGCTCCTTCTCTAGCTATAAGTCTCTTGTTTGCCTCGTCAAGTGATAAATTCAAGAGAGCTGTTACGGTGTGTTCTTGAATCTTTGAATCTGGATAGTACAAGAGCTGAACCAAGGGAGGGATTCCTCCAACGTTGGCTATCAAAATTCTGTTGTCCGGATTCTCTTTTGAGAGCATCCGGATCTTCATGATTGCAACTCTCCGTACCTCAGGCTGACAAGATGATAGATGTTGGACTAAGGAAGATATTTCTTCAGTAAGTTCAGCAGAACTTGATCCCCCAGAGCCCACACAAGCATCTTTCTTGGGCAGCTCAAAATTGTTCTTCTCGCACCATTGGAGAATAAGATTGCGAAGAGCATAGTTGGGTGCTAGTGACAAATGATCCAAAACTTGTCCAGTCTTTGGGCACGTCCGATGGTTAGAATTTAACCACTTCTGTATGCTCTCTCTTTCATAGGTCTGTAAATTTTTTTTTTTTTTAAAAAAAAAAAAGGGTTTCAGTTTTTGATATCACAAAGAGCATAAGATAAAAAGTTTATAGTCAAATTTGAATTGCTCAAAACCTTGTTTAACTTCTGTTAATCAAAACATTGATTTTGGAAATTCAAGGTTAACTTCCTTGTTGGAAAAAATATAAATCAATCTGTAAAATCTTGAAATTTCCCATTTTATGATGCTAAATCCAAAAGTATAAAAACTCAGGACAAAATATCAGGAAAGAAATTAAGAATGTCTCTGAACT